TGCCTCCGCCCCGGACCCCCATTGGTGGCCTTGTGTTCTACTTGCAGAAGGCTTGCGGGAGTATTTCAGCCAGTTTGGCGAGGTGAAGGAGTGCCTGGTCATGAGGGACCCGCTGACAAAGCGATCCAGGTGAGGTGCCCCACCGCCCTGTGCCTCCTCCCGGGCACTCCCGGTGGAGGGAGCCTGCTGCCCCCCTGCTGGCTTCTTCCTAACCAGGTTTCTCCCTTTCTCTGGCTGCTTCCCTTCTGGCCCCTTTATCCCTGCGCAGGGGGTTCGGGTTCGTCACATTCATGGACCAGGCCGGGGTGGACAAGGTCCTGGCCCAATCCAGGCACGAGCTGGACTCCAAAACGGTGAGTTGGCTTCTCTCTGTCTCAAGCGCTTTGTGTGGGGCTGGAAGCATCCGCTGGGTCCGGCATTTGGTCCGCAGTTGGGCTCGGCAACTATTGACCGGTAATGAAGGCATTGATCGGACCGGCTGTTGGGTTGGAGACTGGCCGCGTGAGGCAAAACTTTCTCTTGGTTGCGTGAGGGAAGTTGAATTGAGGAGGAGTTGCTTGAGCAAGCCTGGCTGGCTTTGCAGAAGCAGGAGACTTGGCTTCTTGGATTTCCCATCCTGACTAGGAATCCTGGGAGTTGTAGTCTCACCCGTTTTCAGGATGCCCACTCAAGGGAGGGTGCTGTAATTGAAAAGGGCACCCCACTGAGGCTCGGCGGTTACGGGGCCAGGCACAGGCCACCTAGGAGGCTCAGAGGCCTGTGACCTGTGCTAGGCCTTCCATTTTTCAGGGGGAGGGAGTAGCTCGGCTCATGGGTGGGACTGGGTCTGGCCTTTGTTTTGGGGATATTCTTCCTTTGGCGGGCCACCACAGCCACAAAGTGTGACCTGTAGGCCTTCCCTTGGGCACCCAAGTTGAGGTACTTCAAATGTGTCCTCTTCCCCCGCATAACCCGAAAGGATGGGAAGGAGATCTCAAGGGGCTTTTCCCCAGAGACAGTCAATTGTGCTGAGGCGCATCTTTATCTGTTCCACAGAAAGTGGTCTTCCCAGCACATTCAGGGCTCAGATAAAGGGGTGGCTGTTGTGGCAATGGAGTTCTGAGCATCTACTTCGAATGTTGGATGGCCACCAGGTGTTCCAGGGGCTTGGCTCTCTCGCCAGGCTGCACGCTGCCTCTCGGTGGTCCCAACAAACCTTCTCATTCAGCGTCATTGGGAATCTTGTATCCCAACTTTGCTCCCATCCCGAAAGGGGCAGTCCGTCAGTGCCAGGCGTCCCCAAACACCAGCGGTATGGGGGTACCACTCCTGTCATCCTTGCCAGATTGGCCATGGGGTGCGCTGGCTGCCAGTCTGCATTCTTCTGTGCCTCTATGTCAGTTTGGGTGCGAGAGATGCCCTCCACAAAGTGAGAGGGAGGACACGAAGATCTGCCACCTTTAAGAGCTTTTTTGATAACAGCCCATCCTCCACGTCTCCATCCTCCCCTCAAGCCTCTTTGCAGGTTTAGTGAGCAGAATCCATACCCTTAGGAGGTGGGCAACGGCTGCTAAGCTTAATCTGCCTAAAGCAGCGATGCCGGTTGGGAGGGCAAGGAGCAGGATCCACTTCATGGGTATTAATAGCAGAGGACGGGGCCCAGTTCAGCCCCCCCCCCCCGTGGTTTTGAGATCCAAGGTGCCTGAAAAATTGGCCCAGATCCATTCATGCCAAATTTTATTTGGATTCTTAACTTGGGGTTTGCCATCCCAGTACCCTAAAATGTCTCGATGTCTAAGAAGATCTGGAAGTTCAAGGATTGTTATAGGTCGGGACCCTCACTTTAGAGGCTTTTGATGTGATGTGATGTGATGAGGTTATAAATGGTTTTACTATATTACTGTATCAGCTGTTGTTTTATTCACTGTACTGTGCTTAGTTATAAGCACATGGTAAATCAAAAAACTACTGATACTAAGGTGGCTGAGTAGGGATTTCAACCCACATCTCCCAAGAGAGAGCAGGGCCGGTCCTTCCTTGATTAATTGTGGGCTTCTGTTTTTGTATTCTTGTTTGTAACTCAGGTGTGTGAATATGTGCGTATAACTGGGATCGCCATTCCATTAAACCAGATTTGTTTGAACTACAGTTGTTGAGCAAGCCATAGTGGCCTGAGCCATTGACTACGGTTTGCAAATCTCAGTGGCTCAGTTCTCGCATCGCTACATTTTGGCATAGCGTGTGAAATCAGCCTCGGTGTAATTCTGTGTAGGTGCCTTGCCTGCATTTTTATGGGGTGGGCAGGCATCTCTCGTGGATACTTTTAGATACTTGGCTGAAATCTCTGAGTTCAAGGTTTGGGCTAGGAAAGGGAACAATGCGTTTGTTTTTAAAATGTTCTCTCTCCAGCGAATGACTGTTAAGGAACAAGGCTCCCAAAAATTCTCTTGCACGATTCCCATAAAATGAAGGAGAGCTGAGCAGCTCCCCCTCTTTTGATGGGGCTCACGTCCAGTTCCATCTCCCTCGCGCCCATTTCTGGTCAAATCAAATTCCCTATCTAAAGTAAAGCAACAACAAAAGAAAATACAGTTTCCTTGAGCAGCCTGTGAGAGAGTAGATTGTTCTCTTCACGGAATCCAGGAACTGGTGACCTTGTTCAGCGTATTCTTTCAGTGTCGAATAAACCTGAGCGCAATAAAAATGTTATCCTAAAAGTTAGGCACTTTCTTGGATTAAATCTGGCTTCCCAGTTTAGCTTTTCCGCAACTGCTCAAGCTGGGACTGGGTGCCACTGGGGTCAGCAAGCAAGCTCTGGGTGGTCCCTGCAATGCACCTGGCCCCTTTGGAGCTTTTTTCCAGCACAGGAGGCGTTCCCCTCCCCTGGACTTTGCTGTGGGGCTTGGCTAATGAAAGCCTATCATGGCTGTTGGCGAAGATGGTCTCCTTCCAGTGGTATTGATGGTGGCCTGTGCAGCTCGCCTAATCTCAGGAACATTCTTGGGGATCCTGCAGACGAAAGTCGCGTTGGCTGATCCCTATTCTTCTCCGCAGCTCGCCCAGCGCGCTCCCTCCCTCGCCTTTGAAAAACGGGGCCGGGGGCCTCCCTGTGAGGCGGAGCAGGTGGGGGGAGGGGTGAAGCGGACCCAGGGAGAACAGAAGGGGTCTCAGGCGAGACAGAAGGGATGGGAGTGGGCCTGCCCTGGAAGTCCCCTGATGCGTCTGGCTGGCTGGGTGGAGGGGAGGAAGCGAGGAGTGGTGGGCAAAACTTGGGCCCAGAAGGACCTCTTTCTCTTTGTTTGGAGCTTAAGCAAGTTTGCACCTCCTTCCTCTTGCTCTGTCCCCTCCGGACTTTGGGGGGAAGATCTATATGGCATGTCCCCCTCCCCCTGCCGCCGAGGCTTATTTCTTATGGGGCACAATCTCCTGGGAGCTTCAGGAAAAAGCAGCCGCTCTCTTTTGCTTGAGTATTGGAAGAACCCGGCTGTCTCTCCTTTGCAGCTTTTAATGGCATCTCAGCCCTCCTCCTCGCCACAGACGGTCCCTTCGGCTCCTTCCTTGCTTATTTATTTACCTGCAGATTGGAGGATGACGGGACCTCGGGGCGAGCTCTGGGTGGCTGCTTTGCTGGCTCCTGAAGGGCCGGGAAAACCAGTAGAACAAAATGGTCACTGGTGCCATGTGTGTGGCACCAGGAGAAACTGGGGTAAAAGTGCTCACGGCACCCGCTTCAAGGCCTGTCTGATAAGTGTGGCTGTGCTACAAGAAGCCCCTTTGGCACAACCTGGTGACATAGTTTGTGAGGTACAGTGGGCATGTGCAGCAGTAGCCTGCACACAGTTGTCTTGGCCACTTTCATCTCTGGACATGACCCGAAAGAAGTCAGCTGAGAAGAAGCTGCGCCATTAGGCAGTGAGGACTAGGTGATCTCCTGGATCGGGGCCTCTAGAAATGCTCGGACCTTCTGGGACTTTCTGGATCGGTCCTGTCTCTGCTAACGGACCAATAGGCTTGGCTTTAACTTACCCAGCTCCATTCCTTCCGCAGATTAATACCAGGCTTTTGCTAAACTTGCAAAAAGTGCCCCACAGGACATCTCTCAAGTGCCACTTTATTGACTCAGCACCTGGGGAATTGTAGCCTGTTCTGGTCTCCCCGGAGCTGGGGAAGACCATGGAGTGCCATGCGGTGCTGTACTGGCCTTCCAGAGTTTTAGGCAGGAAACATTTCTCTTCCCACCTTGGTGCCCAACCTTTCACTGGACCAACTTGAAGTTTCCTTATTAAGCTGATGCTGGTTCACACATGCAGCTGTCTCAGCAGAACACATGAACCGAACCTGCAGGGAACTGGCTTCCATGTTCCGCTTGTTACGGGGCATTCAGACATGCTCTCCGTCTGCTGCTGAGGCTTCTGCGATGGGGAAATTCGCATGAACGGTCCCCAGGGGCTGCAGGCCTGGGCGATTCCCTCCCCCGTGAGCATGCAAAAGAGTTTCTTCTTCGGGGAAGGATGTGCTTTTTTGAGAACACTCTTTATTTGTAAGTGAGATAACTGCATGCTGGGCTTTGTTTATGGAAATGTAAGTTTAATAGATACCTTGGCTTGACTCTAACATTTCAAATGCTGGGGAGTTTGGAAGAGTTGGAGGATTTTGTTTTTCTTCTCAGGCACCGGGGGAAGTGGGGCCTTCGGGCTTAGAATGAAGCAACTCATGCCTCAGCTGCCCTAGGAATCTGCCAACGTGTGCCCTGCTGCCCACTCCAGTGGTCATACTGATGTGGTGAGGGGGCTCCGCTTTCCCCAGTCTGAAGCCCACTGGATATCTTGGACTACAAGGCCAAGAATGTCCAGACCGCTGATGTGAGCTGTGGGTGCCGGATGGCAATTTCTGCCCAGTTCAGTATGATGCCAGTGAGTTAAATATGGTGACGGTGGACTTGAGCGTTGATTAGATGGCCTGGAGGCAGGTGGAGCAAAGGCAGATGGGTCCTCGGCTGATGACCGGATGGTGCCAGCTGGGCTTTAGGAGGAACGTCAGGACCTCCACGTCCACGGGCAGTATAGCTCAGGAAAGGAACCGGATGGCCGTGCTGTCGTGGCAAACGGGAGGCCGTCTGAAGTGAGCTGGGCTTAGTTTGCTTGTTCAATTTATAAGTTGTCTGAGCCACTCTAGACGAGTCAAGGAAGGCTGGACTAAAAGCGGGCCGTTCTGGGGGATATAAATGCGGGTTGGGTCTGAAGCGTGATGCTCCTCTATCATTGCAGAGTGCAGGATGCAGAATAATGGCGGTAAGTTACCGGAAGGCAGGTTTGGACTGTGTGTGGCTAAAACCCCCCGGCCCCTTTTAACTGAAAGAGCAGTTTCAAAGGGA